AAGTGTCCCAAGGCTGAAGTTTTAAAGTCCATAACTCGACTTATCTTGATTGGATTTTGAAGTGGCATACCTCTAAATGTTTCTGGAGCAATTCTCTAAAAATCTGCATTCAAATTTGGAAATATATTTTTTTTTAATATTTTTGTCATTTTTCTGATGTTATGATGTTGTACAAATTCAAAAGTGTCCCAAGGCTGAAGTTCTAAAGTCCATAACTCGACTTATCTTGATTGGATTTTGAAGTGGCATACCTCTAAATGTTTCTGGAGCAATTCTCTAAAAATCTGCATTCAAATTTGGAAATATATTTTTTTTTAATATTTTTGTCATTTTTCTGATGTTATGATGTTGTACAAATTCAAAAGTGTCCCAAGGCTGAAGTTCTAAAGTCCATAACTCGACTTATCTTAATCGGATTTTAAAGTGGCATACCTCTAAATGTTTCTGGAGCAATTTTCTAAAAATCTGCATTCAAAATTGGAAATTTATTTTTTTTTAATATTTTTGTCATTTTTCTGATGTTATGATGTTGTACAAATTCAAAAGTGCCCCAAGGCTGAAGTTCTAAAGTCCATAACTCGACTTATCTTAATCGGATTTTAAAGTGGCATACCTCTAAATGTTTCTGGAGCAATTCTCTAAAAATCTGCATTCAAATTTGGAAATTTATTTTTTTTTAATATTTTTGTCATTTTTCTGATGTTATGATATTGTACAAATTCAAAATAATTAAAAAGTGTCCCAAGGCTGAAGTTTTAAAGTCCATAACTCGACTTATCTTGATTGGATTTTGAAGTGGCATACCTCTAAATGTTTCTGGAGCAATTCTCTAAAAATCTGCATTCAAATTTGGAAATTTATTTTTTTTTAATATTTTTGTCATTTTTCGGATGTTATGATGTTGTACAAATTCAAAAGTGTCCCAAGACTGAAGTTCTAAAGTCCATAACTCGACTTATCTTGATTGGATTTTGAAGTGGCATACCTCTAAATGTTTCTGGAGCAATTCTCTAAAAATCTGCATTCAAATTTGGAAATTTATTTTTTTTTAATATTTTTGTCATTTTTCTGATGTTATGATGTTGTACAAATTCAAAAGTGCCCCAAGGCTGAAGTTCTAAAGTCCATAACTCGACTTATCTTAATCGGATTTTAAAGTGGCATGCCTCAAAATGTTTCTGGAGCAATTCTCTAAAAATCTGCATTCAAATTTGGAAATTTAATTTTTTTTAATATTTTTGTCATTTTTCTGATGTTATGATATTGTACAAATTCAAAATAATTAAAAAGTGTCCCAAGACTGAAGTTCCAAAGTCCATAACTCAACTTATCTTAATCGGATTTTGAAGTGGCATACCTCTAAATGTTTCTGGAGGAATTCTCTAAAAATCTGCATTCAAATTTGGAAATTTATTTTTTTTTAATATTTTTGTCATTTTTCTGATGTTATGATATTGTACAAATTCAAAATAATTAAAAAGTGTCCCAAGACTGAAGTTCCAAAGTCCATAACTCAACTTATCTTAATCGGATTTTGAAGTGGCATACCTCTAAATGTTTCTGGGGAAATTCTCTAAAAATCTGCATTCAAATTTGGAAATTTATTTTTTTTTAATATTTTTGTCATTTTTCTGATGTTATGATGTTGTACAAATTCAAAAGTGCCCCAAGGCTGAAGTTCTAAAGTCCATAACTCGACTTATCTTAATCGGATTTTAAAGTGGCATACCTCTAAATGTTTCTGGAGCAATTCTCTAAAAATCTGCATTCAAATTTGGAAATTTATTTTTTTTTAATATTTTTGTCATTTTTCTGATGTTATGATATTGTACAAATTCAAAATAATTAAAAAGTGTCCCAAGACTGAAGTTCCAAAGTCCATAACTCAACTTATCTTAATCGGATTTTGAAGTGGCATACCTCTAAATGTTTCTGGAGGAATTCTCTAAAAATCTGCATTCAAATTTGGAAATTTATTTTTTTTTAATATTTTTGTCATTTTTCTGATGTTATGATGTTGTACAAATTCAAAAGTGCCCCAAGGCTGAAGTTCTAAAGTCCATAACTCGACTTATCTTAATCGGATTTTAAAGTGGCATACCTCTAAATGTTTCTGGTGCAATTCTCTAAAAATCTGCATTTAAATTTGGAAATTTATTTTTTTTTAATATTTTTGACATTTTTCTGATGTTATGATATTGTACAAATTCAAAATAATTAAAAAGTGTGCCAAGACTGAAGTTCCAAAGTCCATAACTCAACTTATCTTAATCGGATTTTGAAGTGGCATACCTCTAAATGTTTCTGGAGCAATTCTCTAAAAATCTGCATTCAAATTTGGAAATTTATTTTTTTTTAATATTTTTGTCATTTTTCTGATGTTATGATGTTGTACAAATTCAAAAGTGTCCCAAGGCTGAAGTTCTAAAGTCCATAACTCGACTTATCTTGATTGGATTTTGAAGTGGCATACCTCTAAATGTTTCTGGGACAATTCTCTAAAAAACTGCATTCAAATTTACAAATTCATTTTTTTTAATTTTTTGTACTTTTTTGATGTGATGATGTTGAAGAAATTCAAAAAAATTAAGAAATGTCCCAAGGCTGAAGTTCTAAAGTCCATAACTCAACCTATCTTAATTGGATTTTGAAGGGTCATTTTTGAAAAATGTGATATTTTTGCACTTTTTTATTAGTCTTGTAAATTTCTATCGATTTTCAAAAATCGTTTTACTTCGCCCAATCTACCGCCTACAATCCGCCAAAAACTGTCACGACCACGCGTTTGAAAATTGTTTTTAAAATTTTTACACAATTTTTACAGATAATCCAGAAAATGTTGAAATTTCTCGTTTGCCCTTTCACTAGCTGAGTAACGGGTATCTGATAGTCGGGCAGCTCGACCATAGCATTCTATTTTGTTTTTTTTCATCCTGTTGTTGAACAAGAATTAATTGGGTCGTCAAAGTCCTTCAGCCCCGATAAGCCTTATCGAAATGGCAGAGAAAATCAGGAAAGAAAAACTGGGAAAACCTAAGACGATTGCTCGGGTCACTTGTGCGTTGATCTGTTAATCCGAAAAGGGTTTTTGCCGGCTTCCCATGACGAAAGCCCCAACTTTTCCTCCCATTTGATTGAGGGTCCCACAAAGCTCCGCCATTAAGCGGGCAAGTTTGCTATGGCCAACATAAAAGGCCATTGCTAGAGCCACTAGGCGTATGCGTAATAAAATCAACAACTTAAAATTTAAGCCCCCCAACACGCACACACATTTCTCTCTCAATTAGAGATAGCAGATAACTTTAACTGCTTAAACTGTGTATATATGTGGGCAGGACCACAGTCCAAATTTGACCAGAGTGCGGTTGTTCACCGAAGTCGTCCCCTGGCGCAAAAGTCCGTATTTACGGACAGGACACACTCTCGGCCTTGTTCATGGACCTCGTCACTTGCATTCGCCTTTTTGCGTATTCAAGTGTCTGTGCGGAAGTGCCCCATACCAATACCCATTCCCCAATCCTCTCCACATACCGACCCCGCCCAAAAGTGACACTCCAAGTGCGGAACGTGGGCGGCAAGCCGCATAAAAAAGTATCCTAGAAGAAATTCATGTGCATGCCAGCAGAATGCATTCTTTTTTCCATACACTTGGAAAAAGTTGGGTGCTAGATATAAATATTAAAGTATGTAATTCTAATACTGCATTAATAATTTTAAATATGAATGGCACAGTAACGAATTGTTTGTAAAACGAAGTTTTTCCAGTGTAAATGATGAATCAACCAAAACGAACTTGAGATGCTCTGATAAAAACATAAGGCATAGTTTCAGATAGGATTTTCGTGGGACATGATGTCTTAAGGGCTGGCAAAATGAATGAAAACAAGCACATAAATTTTCTGAATGTGGTCTTCAGGAAAAACACATAGATCAAACTCAAAGAGCGCTCTCTTGTATCCGATGTGATTTCTTTCTTATTTCTGATTTACTTGCCACTCAAATATCCTTGCCCGATATGGCAGAGCGCCCTGCCCGCCGCTGCTCCGCCGGCACCATCCGTTGAACCATCATCTAGGGAGGGGGGTCCTGCCCACAAATTCAATTTCCTCTGCAGCCAGTCCATCGAACATGTCCTGTGCCTGCTGCTAACTGAAAACTGAAGCTGAAAACCAACTCGTCTATGCGGCGAGGTGGCGAAGTGGCGATGTGGTTCTGCTGTTTGAACCGCATATAGACATATATATTTGCCAGCTCTCGAGTATATATAATATTTATGCCACTGTAAGTGCTTATTGATGTCAGATCTGAAATTGGAATCTGCTTGGGCTTTTGTTCTTATTCCATGCGGATGCACATTGCAGTTAAGGTCTCGATTCGATTCGATTCGATGCAATGCGATGCTCGATGTTTTGTGGACTCTCAATTAAGGAAAGTTGGCATTTTGACATGTCTGAACTGAAACCGAAACTTGAAGCCCAACAAAAAATTGAAAATTCATACATGCGCGTACAGAACACACACGAAATATTTATAAAGTCAGACACAAGCCCCAAGACCCCAAGAGGCTGCTTCCAGTGCGAAACGGAGTACGAAACGGGCCCGTTGAGACCACAGCAAAATTTAATTTTAATGCATAAGCAAATTGAATTTAAGCAACAGGAAAATTGTTCGTCTGGCCACAAAGGTGCCGCATGTGGAAGCAAAAACCACTTGCCAGGGAAACGAAAAGGCGGACGAAAACCACGTCGAGTGCTTCATGCTGAAAGTTTTCACCTAAAGGCGAGTCGAAATTTCCTTAAACCAACCACAATTACGAAAATGGGGTGCCTTCATCAAACATTTTTAAGTGCAGGACATGCTTGAAAAATTCTTGGTCTTCGAATTAGGCAAAGCAAAAACTAGCACACCGCAAATTTGTAATTGGAACAATTGGGTGTATTAAAAAGTGTTTGAAAATAGTTGGACCTAGCTACTAAAAGAAATACACGACTTGCATGCAGTGACCCCAAAAATTTTATTTCATTTTAAATAGTAGCTGTCCTACTTCTGGCTTATCATCCAAACGAATTCCTCGTAGTTGATCATGCCATCCCCATCAAAATCAGCCTCGCGTATCATCTCGTCGATCTCTTCATCGGTGACCTTCTCGCCGAGATTAATCATTACAAAGCGAAGCTCAGCTGGTGATATAAAGCCATCGCCATCGCGATCAAAAATCTTGAAAGCCTCCCGCATTTCCTCCTCCGTATCCGTTTCACGCATTTGCTTTGCCATGATACCACAGAACTCAGTGAAGTCCAGTTGGCCATTGCTGTTATTGTCGGCATCGGCAATTAAATCCTGCAACTCGGCCTCCGTGGGATTCTGGCCCAGGGTGCGCATCAAGGTGCCCAGCTCACGGGTGGCGATCTTGCCGGTTCCCTCCTTGTCGAACTGGACGAAGGCATCCTTGAACTCGGCTATCTGCTCCTCCGTTAGTTCCGACATCTTCAGCAAATTTCAAGGGTTTTCGGCTCTTATCAAGATATATCGAAAAGCTTTCACTGCTATAGACTGTTGGAATTTACGAACGAGAATGAGCCGAAAATGTTTTGATGAAACTGATAGGTCGGTTTCCCAACCCCCTAAGCCTGCTTTTTCCCTATGTGGTGGACATAACTTTGATAAATCGCACATAGTCAATATTTCCTTCCAGATCAGAATTTGCATCCCGGATGATCTCCTCCACCTCATCATCCGTCAATTGCTCCCCCATGTTCTTCATTATGTGACGAAACTCTGTTTCAGATATGACGCCGGTTCCTTCTTTGTCGAAAACTTTAAATGCGGCTATAATCTCATCCTCGGTGGACATGTTTGCGTACCTCTGATACATAATATAAAGGAAGTCGCTGAGATATAACTCACCGGTGCCATCAGCATCGATCTCGTCGTATATTTCCTGCAATTCCCTATCACTGGGGTTGTAGGCCACAGCTAGCATCAGTGGCCTCAGATTTGTTATAGGAATAACCTTGGTGTCTTGGTCGTCAAATATGGAAAAGGCAATCTCCAGATCCTTGACCTCTTCCTTGGTCAGGTTGTGGGTGCGAACTATCCGTTCCTCTGGCGGTGGAGTTAGGAAGTCGAAATCCATGGCCTGAGGGGTTGGGGCTGGGAAATTTTGGGGTCACTAAACACTCACTACAAATTTTCTACAAACTTTATTTCAAAACATTTGTATAATTAAAACAAAAAGAAACGACTACTGCTGTTATTATTTTTGTTGGCTTTTTTGTGCATTTATTCATTGTACATTTGCTATTATTTTCATTATTTTATTTAACTAAAATTTTTGACCCAAAATTGTTAGTTGCGCCAAAGTATAGAAGACGATCATAAAGACCATCCCAACTGATTATGTTCATACATAAGATCTGTAAATCGGGTATAGTTCTATATAATTAAAATTTTCAATATATTTTTAGATGTCCACCTTATCGTTAAATTTGCCAACAGAGTGTTACGTCTCCATCATCATGTTCACAAAGCGAACGTAGTCGATTTTTAGTTCCGTGTTGGCGTCGGCATCACGTATCATTTCCTCGATCTCATCCTCTTCCATTTCGTCGCCATAGTCCGTCATTATCTGACGGAATTCATTCTCGTGTATGAAACCGGATCCATCTTTGTCAAAGACTTTGAAAGCCAGGATAACCTCATCTTCGACCGTCGAATTCTCGTACCGTTTCGACATGATGTATAGGAAATCGCTAAGATACAGATCGCCGGATCCATCCGTATCTATTTCGGTGATATAATCCTGTAGCTCGTTTTCCGGCGGCGTGTGAGCCACGGCACGCAGGCAATCCCTCAGTAACTTGATCGGAATGACCTTGGTATTGTCGTCGTCGAAAAGGGCAAAGGCCGCCTCACAATCCTTGACCTGCTCTTCATTCAGCGTGTGGGTATGAATGGTTCGCACCTCCGGGGGTGGGCTACTGAAATCAAAGTCATCCATGGCAAGTTTAAAATATACCTTTGGCTAAAATGCGGGTTCCGAAAGAGGAGTTTTGGAATTTAGTTTTCTCAAAAATGTTGATGTTTAAATGTTATTTCATTAGGAATTTTTGATTTACACTGAATTTGTGTGATACTCAAGGCATGGATAACTAATGATTTTCTAGTCAGTTTTTTCCATAATATTTGTTTAGGATATACGATGTTTGTAGAGCACTTTTCTGAGTGCACGCTAATTGCCAAATTGACATGGGTCTTAAACCCATTTTCAGTGGGATAAATTTGTGACATGGAAAACATTGCATGTGACCACAGCTCCGTAATGCAGTAACACCCCAGTAAAATATAGCTGGATTTAACAATTAAATTTGCAACAATTTCCCAAATAATGTTTTTACAGCCTTTGGCCACCGCTTCGGGCATTGTGTCTGCTGAAAAGCATGGGTAATTACATTTTTAATTAAATGCGTCGCAGTTTGTTTCGTTTTAATATTATTTTTATTTTTGTTGCTGCATTTATACAACTGTTCAGTATTTTTTCTGCGCAGCTATTTTCTGCCATCGTCGGTCTCTTGGGGCGTAAAATGTTTTTTGTGTCTTTATATTTTTATTTTTTGTTTTATTGAGCATTACGGGCAAATAGGGAAATTATCCAATGCAAAATTTCGAGCAATTTGCATAATTTGGGTGCGGAGCCGGCGAGAACCAAACTGCACAAACCCATGTCCCTGGCCATCATCCTTTCACACACGTGCTCTCCACTGGGGAGCCAACAATGGGGGCTTCTTGGTAATGAGAAGCAAATCCTGGCCACGAAGGACACGAAGGATTTAGGATTGGGGCCAAAGTTGAGCCACACAACAAGGCACTGTCAAGCATTTCTCTGCATAGATTAGAGTGGACTTTTCGGGCCAGAGATGCGGGATTATATAGCAGTGTGAAAAACAATAGTTTCAAGTTTTATTCAGCAGGTGATATATCAATTAGGTCAACCACCCATGCAAACAAAAGTTGTGTATTTCAGAACTAAGTAAAACAATTTGCCAGAAATAATTGGCAGACTTGTGTTTGAATTAATTCTCGAGACTATTTCGAGCAATTCTATTCTTATGACCACAAGTGTATATGTTTATACGATTGTCTGGTAAATGCAGCTCAGAATATGTTTGTTGTTTGACTTTAATCAGGCATAAACAGGATAGGGCAACAGCCGAGCCGCAATCGAAATGGCAACAGACCTTTGGGGGATTTGGATAATTTGCATTTCTGTAGTGAGACAGGACACACATGCAAAGGAATTTCATGTGCAAATCCCTTTATGCCAGTTTTGGAGCCACAACTTCATATGGTCTTACGTATACGCTTGTGTAAGTAGTACTTCGAATTTCTCGTCTTCAACTAGATCAGTTGGAAACTTAGATATTTGGAGCACTTTATTGGTGTATGTGAAAGTGAAACTTACGTTTCCACGTTTTGCTATTGAAAAGCAACTCAATACAATGGTTAATGGAGTGGTAATAGGTGCAGGATGCAGAAATACCCATCCGATTCTGACATGCACCATTTCAATTAAGCATATAAAGGCTGGGTCTGGCCAATGACCACACAATGGATGCCTTTGGAATCCAATTGAGTGGTCATTGGCAGACGAACGTCCGGCAGCTGGATATCGCAAATGTGGAGCCCAGTTAACCGGTCGACCAGTTGCAAAGTAATGCCATTCCATCACCGCGGGTTGCAATTCCAGTCGCAGATTTGTCGACGCCAAAGCGTTTTCAGTATGAGAACCCGGCCCGGACCTCAGTCGCTAAAGTGCATCTATGTGAATGAATTATAGCCACCGCTTGCAATCAGTTGTGACCACCAATGAACGGAGGCATTTGTGAGAAATGAATGCCGGAGGAGTTGCCTTTTTGTTTCCGGTTTCAATCTTGTGCGCTGCAGCCGTCGCTTTTCATCAGGGGCCAACATGAAGTCCGAGTCCTGGAGGTGCTTGGTTATGGATATCAGCCAGCTTCTCACCTTGGGCATTGTATGGTCTATACGAGTATATACCCAGGCTCGGCGACTGTGCAAACAACGTACTTAAGCCAGACGTCAAAGACAGCAGTGTAGAACAATCCTGGCTCCTTGGGATCCCTGGGATCCTTGGCATCCCATTGCCTCTCCTGTTTGTTTCTATTTCACTTTGATGGCACGTGCGTGGAGTGGTTTTCAGCCCAGGTGAGGTGACTGAAGGTGGTGGCTGGATTCGAATGGAGTGGAAAGGCAAATATGCAAGTCAATAGCAGAATGTTGCCCCGAGGTGAAGTGACGAGGTGATGGCTGGGAGTACAACAAGTAAAAGCCACAGGAAAGGCGCCTTTAAATTGAGAGTAAAAGGTAAACTTATTGACTATGTCCGCATTCCATGAAAACGAATAAAAAAGATTCAAACGAAATTGTTAGGCTGGAAGCACTTCATAATTAGTTTTATTTTGTTCCTAACTAAAAGTGCTCAAATATTTGAATCCCTTTCTCTGGCTGATTACTGAAAAGTGTATCAATAAGAATATTAAAGGGCTTAATAAACGATTAAAACGGAAATAAACTCGTTCATGAGCGGTGCAGATATTTGCTCTCATTGAATTTAAATTAAATTTAATGGAGAAACTCTGAGGGTGTAAAGAATTTTACAACTCAGTAAACAAACGCATTCTCCTGTTTTGTTTCTTTCGCTTTTATTATGCTAAAAGCATCTGCCGAGCTGCAACTAATCCAAAACTTAAAATCCAATCTAGAATATAACTTTGTTTGACTTTTGCTTGCCGCCTCGTATTTTCCCCCATTTTCTAAGATTTTCTTTGTTTGCTTTTGTGGCGCAAATTGCATTTTGTGGGTGTCAACAAACGCAGCGCTCTGGACCGCCTTCTCTTGGCCAGAATAGCATGGAACATGATTAAATTACTCATACGCCTCGTGTGTGCGCTTGGACAACAACTTCTATGGCGATTTTGTTTTAGCTGTTGTTGCGCTTGCACTCATTTAGTTAATTAAGTTTTACAACAGCTTGCCACATGCCCTCCACTCGTCCGCCTCTTTAATTAGTTTTTAATTATTTCGGAGTTGAGCGTTTTCCAAAAATTTCCCGGTAAGCTTTTGGCCCAAACAACAAGAACAACAACCACAACGGCAATAACAACAATGGGTGAATCCCAGTGTTGGACTTTGGCTCAGAGTTTGCTTTGAGTTTGAGTTTTAGTTAATTTTATTTGTATTCTGCAAGTATTTGTACGCCCCCTACAAAAAAGGAAGTGGGGCTTTGTTCATTTAGCACATTATTTCTACACGCTTTGTTTTTACTGCAGTTGGCTTGTTTGCTGGCTCGTTTGTTTTGGGCCGGCTAAAGTTTTGTGCAAGCCCATTAGCCTAATAGCCCAAACAGAAGTCACCGTCAACCTTTGTTTATTTATATAGTATAATTAACTTTTGTTGCATGTGAATACGGTCAGGACTTATTTCTATGGCACAGCTTGTTTAACTGGATACTTCATGAGAATTTCAATATTGCGACCAAGAGTTTCAAATTAATAATAACTTTTATTACCCAATAAATGGGTTTTTTTTATATATATTTGTTATAAAGAAATTCTTGAATAATCGCTAGCTATTTTTATTTGGTTCAGTTTTCAGCCATACACGAAATTTGTTTGATAATTTAAAAACATATTCAGTTTTTCGATCAGAAACCCACGTTGCTTTAAATAAAGTAATCTGCGTGGAAATTGCGAATATTACTCAGCCTGAACATGGTTTTTGCCTTTTTATAGTTCGGTTATCAGCATAAAACTGATTGAAATGGGCCAACAAACATTTCACTTTATCAACTTGTGCATATTTAAGGATGCTCCTGTATCCTGTACGAGTATCTGTGTGTGTGTCTGTATCTGTATCTGTGAAAATTGGCTCAAACGAAGCCCTGATGCTGGGCAAACTGCAAAGGGAATTGTGGGGGACACGGCCTAGAACAAATATTTACACGGCTCGTTGTATGGCATTTGCCATAAACTACCGTAAAACAATAAAATTCGCAATAAACCAAATGGAAAGCGGCAACTGCCGGCTCATGTGAAATGCATGCAAAGCAACAACGCAAACAAAAGCCACAATGCAGAGCAATTCAACAACAAAGCCAAACGAAACGAAACGAAACGTTTTTCATAACTTAAATTGCAAAATGCAGCCAGCAAGGGGTTATGAGTAAAACAAAAAAAAATACAAAAACAGTGAAGAAATAAAATCGTGCCACTGGCTGAAACGTCAACAGAACAGTTTGGAACAAAGCCGTAAAACAATAGCTGAAGACGGAAAGGAAGACTTGACTCGGATATATCCTGAAGAAAAAACAATGCAATTTAATTTGCAGGATCTGTGAACAGATATGCCCTATCGCCTTTATTATTTCCAGTTTATCCAAATACTCAGCATCTGCCATATGAACTTAAATATCTTTATTATGTTTTCAAATAGTGGAAACTGAACATCCGAATTCGTGTTGTCCTTCTTAGCCACTTTCCCTTCTGATTCCCTTATAATTGGATCATTGTCAATTGATTCATATTGATCGTCTATATCATTTTTTAACGAAGTTCGAGTGCAAGATCCTTCGTCCTCGTTCGTATCATCATTCCATAGATCGGATGAGTCTGCCGCGCAGTCAGCTGAGAAAATCATTTTAATTTTTACAAATTATTGTTTAAATTACAACACATAATTTATAAACAATAGTATAACATCAGAAAATGTGGAAACCATTTAAGAATCAAACTTCAACTCTTCAACAATTTATTTAAATATATAAACGGCATGTGAACTTACCAACTACCTCGTGCTGGCCCAAAAAGGAAAATCCGCAGAGTACTAGAAAAGTCAATACCGCTAACGACATGACTATCTTGAATAAACTGTGCGACTTGGATATTTTTGAGTTCTACTTATAGGTTTGTGCTACATATGTATATGTAGAATTCGGTTGAGACTAGAAATAATTGTGATGCCACGGTTTTCTAGTTTCCAGAGTAAACTTTTCACCAACTTTCTGTGAACTGCATAATCTTGTTAGCCTTCCGCCTGGCAACACTCTATTTTTAGCTGCTCATCTTGATGCTGATTTATCTGTAATCCAACTTACGTTTCAGCCACTTAAGGCCACAATCTGCCTTTTGCCACTTACCAACTTCCCTGACCCCCGTCGGGTTACAGGTGGCTTTGTAGCAAACTTAGTTCAATAAAGTTCGCCCTTGTCTGGAGCCTTGCGCTTTGATCATCGCATCACATGCGTCTAAAGTGGCTTTCTCTCTCCCCTGAGAGCACTTTTAAGGCCTTTTTGTGCCATCACAACCGAGGTAACATATAACATATAACATATAACATATCCCGACTTAGCGGCTTTTTTCCCAGCAAACTCTTTGAAGTGAGATTTGGGATGTATTGGAGGAGCATACGCATCGAAAGAAGCCACTGTATCAGCTGTTTATGTTTAGGTCCTTTAATTTATTGCCTGTCGGGCTGCTGGTCAGTTGGGTTGATAAACGGCCTAAGCCGTTGGCTAGCAATTCCCTCTTTCATTTGGCTGCCTATTTCGACATTCAGTAATTTGCTTTTGTGCGAAAATACACATAGAAAAATACAGCACATCTGTTAATAACTTATGAACCAGAAAAGGAGTTTTAGGTCAGGAAGTCTTCATTGTACTACATACATATGCACACTTTTATAATTACTTTGTAAATCCTGCGTTGCATATTTTATTCAATTTGTATACGATTTGTGTTTCTTTCTGTGCAAGCTACTCATGTGAAACTCGCTTGCCTCTGCAGAAATTAAAGCCATGAAGGTCCCTCCTCTCTATAAGTAGGAAGTTGTTAGTTGCTCGCAACATGAGAAACAGCAGCAAGTGCAACACCAGCAGCAACATCCAACTTGTAGTGCACTCGTTGTTGCTGTTGTCGAGTGCACGTCGCCGTATGCAATTATCACCCGAAAAAATACTACAGGGCCAAGAGTGCTCCTGCTGGTCACAGGTAGGAAAAATAAAATGGGGAAAAAGTAAAACTACTGGCTACAAATTCTGCCAACATTATGTGCTCAAAATGTAAATGTCATTTGTGTGCCGAGCATGGGGCACGAGCTACGGCAGCGGCAACGGCAATGGCAACAACCCGTTGCACAAGTGTTGCAACATTTGAGAAATGTGTGTTGCCAGTGAAGTGGCAACCAGCACCACCAGCACAACCAGGACACGGTCCAACGTCCACTTGCCCACACTCTATGAATAAATGTTAAAACACAATCGAGAGCCGTAAATTCTGAGCAGTCATCAGCTGAAATAGGTGTAAGAAAATGCAAAGGGCGAGAGTAACCCAGGAATAAAAGGGCCAACACAAAGCAGAAATGGCAAAACGAGAAAATTCCATCCGGAGGGAACAATGGACCCGGGAAATGTCTGTCACGAGACAGGAGAATGAAACAATGCAAAGGACGAAGGCCTAATTGGTATAATAAAATGTCATAAGACGAGAGAGCAATGCAGCAGTTTCAGGCATCAATAATTCGCCAGGGACAAAGGGAATTACTCTATGATGATGTCTCCTGATGGGCCGATTCCAATTGATTGCAGCCACTATCCCCATTGATTTGGGCCCGATTAGACAGCTCCACTGAGGTAATTTTGCCCAACGAGACAAAGAGATTTCAATCAATTAAAGATCATTCCACAACAGCTACACTTTCTTCCAACATCTCACTCGACAGGGAACATAATGGAATGGGATTAGTGAGGAAAGTTGTGACTGACACTCAGATACCCAGTAATAACAGCTTACTGAAAATATATATCATACAAATTAACTTAAATTAAGTGAAATGTGAGTTAATTTAAGTGAAAACTTTGTACCACCATGCAATACTGTCACTTTTCATACAGTATACCCATAAAACACTGGGTATATGTAAGAAAAAACGAGAAAAGATTGCTCTAAACTGGCAGGAGCCACTAAAACCCGATGCCACGCCCCCAACCGCCCATATATCAACTGTCGATGGCTATAAAGCTTCGCATCCTCGCATCTGCTGGTGCTCCATTCCTCCAGCGCGAGTGTACAATCAACAAAATTAGTTTCATTTGGGCAAATGGCATGGCTAGCAGTCGCAGCATTTCGACCCACATAACAAACTTGGCTTAGATAGGAATTTAGGGGGCCACCGAGTACGGTGAGAAATTGCAAACTGAAGCCTCCTTTTATACGTACATCGTATATATTCCTGCTTTTGATGGCTCGCCTCGCCTTTTGATCTTCCCCGACTGCTGATAAATGATAAGATGTCGGAGCTGAAAGAAAAATGCTGAAAAGTGTGGAAAATGGCGCGGCAGGTGTGCGCCCATCATCCGTTTCATTGAGCTACTTCAAGGATACTGCTAAAACTGCTATACTAATTAAAAAACTTCTCAATCTTTAAAAGGAAAAGTGAAATTCAAGGGAAAACCTCAATGAACACCGGCCGCCATTGCCAATTAGCGGAAAAATATACAAAAAAAGAAAAAAAAATGAGAAATTCGGTGAAAACTGTCTAACCTGTAGACCCCCCACCGTCTGGTATCCTGGGAAAACAGGACGCCCTGTAAGTCAAGAGAAAATGGTTACCGAGAAAGGGGGAAATGTCTGTCAACCCACGGTCATAAATTATGGCCAGCTGCTGGCTGCTGCTGGCAATTTATAAATCTGTTTATTGTAACATCCTGTGACTCGCGCCCGGTAATTTATGTATCTGGAATCTAGTTAAGTCCGCTGAAAAGCAGCTAATGAGCGTCCGATTGCAGCTCAGACGGGTTAAGGAATATATTTGCATAAAAAACCCAATTACTATATGTGCCCGAACAAAAATATATATCTTCTCTCTTGTTTTTCGCATTCCTGTTTACACAAAGTTTTCCGTTGGCTACGTTTTGGTCAACTGGCTGTCAATATTTTATTGGCTGCATTTCGTTTTTATATTGCATCTCGTGCACGAATATAAAGATGGGGAAGATAAATATAGGCACCCACAGAAACGAATTTTTCGCAGAATCGTCCAAATGTGCAATTTAATTTCTGTCACGCGAAATCAGTTGAAAAAGCAAGAAAATGCCATAATACTCGCACATATACTTTGCTCAATGACGCGATGAAATGACATAACGAAGATCATGATCATGATAGTTTTTCGGTTGTTAATATTTCGCGATGCTTAATTAGTGTTTTTGAAAATAATATTAAATAGTAACAAAGGACACACTGCGAATACTTAATACTTAACGTCAGACTAAATTAAAAAAGCTTTTCCAAACATTTCCCTTTCCCGTTTTTTCTCAATTTTCCGTCTGCTTCCTCCTCTGTTTACGTTTGCTTTCTAATTGTATATTTTTTCCGTATTTAAATGAAATATGTCTTTCTCATACCCCATTATTCCCGCATTTTAACCCATTTAATTTATTTTTTCGTTCCGCTTTTTTGCTTCAACTTTCTGGGGTTTCTTTCGGTTTTACATTATCTTCTACTATTTCTCGGCTTTTGGCGAGTGCATTGCCACTTCGATGTCCCTCGTTTTCTGAGCCCTGCGTCCTTGGTTTCCATCAACACTCTCATCATTTCTTTTGTTTCGGAATTTTCCTCTTATTTTTATGTATTTTTAGTCATGTCATTCAGTAGGGTTCTTCTTTATCGCCCATTCCACCCGACCCTATATATTTTTTATGTCCTCCCATTGTCCTTTTTTGGATGGTGGAAAAATAGGAGGAAAGAACTGGAGCACTTTTATATGACGGTACCTCGGCTGCAGCTCTGTTTTACATTGGCATACATATTTGCATTTTTTCGAATGCTTTACAACCCTTTAACCCTTCGTTCCGTTCCGCTCCGTACTTTTTTTCCCCAGAATTCTGCTGCTTGTTTTAATTTCTTTGGCCCGAGTTTTATTCCTGGTTGCCCCATTTATTTTTTTTGTCATTTGTCGAATGGGCGGGGTTTCGATGACAGCATTGCAAAACTCCTTTTCAGCCCCGCCCACCGAAGTTGCATTTCAATTGAATTGTCAGCGTTTTGCAGTGAAAAATGTGTCATAAAATGTTGGCTCGTTAGGCATTCAATTTGTAGGAATTTTATTTTTCGGCCAAAGTAAAGTTTTTGTAAATGAAAATCGAAATTCGCTGATTAAGTATTCCAACTGTAAGTTGCCGATACAAAAAATAAAGCTATTATGCAAATTCCACTAATCTATTTTGTTTTTTATGTTCCATAACACTCATAAATGAATTAGTTGTCCAAATGTAAACAATAGTTTCAACAGTGTTATTTAGTTCATGTTCCGCTTTTGTTTGTGGTTTTTATTTCCTCGATTTTTTCGCAAACTCCCTTCAGACCCACACACAGCTCAATTAATTTATAATTTAACTGCACATTGTGCGGTTTAATTATGCTCATTATGGAGTCATCGCCGGCATTGTTCGCCGCCTGTCATGAAAGTTGGTCGGATTGGTGTTACAGCAGAAATAATTAATGTTTTCATTGACACAGTAGTAAGTGGTAAGTGGTAAGAGTGCTTATCTATAGCCCTGCATTCGGCTGTCAGCTATCGCCCAACTTTTCCGGTCGAAACTTTCAAGCAATTGAACAGCGACCAAACTTCCACACAAATCCCAAGTGCAGCTGTCAAATCGTCCTTCGAAAAATCGACAGCAAAAATGCTATCTCGCAAAAAGAAGGCAAGAAAAAAAAAAAAAAAAAAAAAAACGGAATGGCAAACCAAGTGTCAAGTTGAAATAAACTTTAAGACAGACTTGACATATTGCCAGTTGCTCGCTTCCAGCTCACAACATAATTTTCCATTAGTTGGATAACTAGCAGAGGACAGGGCTGCCGAAAAAAGCTGAACCG